TCTGCCTATCCATCGTATATACAATGAATCAATTATTGGGGCCCATAAAATTTTTACACTGTATGGCCACATAACTAAATTGAAAAATGCCTAAAAAATATTGAAAATCGTATATTTAATACTAAACTTAAATGTAAGTTATTTACTATGATTATTTATAAATACATATCATAATAATACTCGTAGAATAATGAAAGGCAAACATCATTACTAAATTTTAGTTAACTATATAAGTATAATATTTTTATATTAATAATTACCTGATCCTTATAGGTCACCGTTTTTTTACTTTGAAATATTATCGGTAAAGCAATGACTAAGCCCATAGGTAATCCTTGTATTGTATATAATAATATCAATAAAAAGAAATTTAGCCAATCACCTTTCAAGTTTGATTCAGCCAGAAAAGATTTAGGTTGGTTTTCAAATGTCCCTAATTTTTCCTTTTTTTCTTCTTTTCCTTCTTCTATATTTAGTGAATTTTCCATGTCACTCTACAGACCTTGTGTTTGATCAATTATGTATGTACTGAAAGTTTTAAAACTTTGTATTGAATTATAAATTAACTAAAGCATAGGTTTTTTATTGTTGTTATTCATTTCAAAATTAATTAATAATTGTACAATAATTTTTTATACAAAAGTTTTAAAAATATAATTAATAACGGTTAATTATATAGTTAAAGTGGGAAATATGAAAACTAATATTTTAAAGTTGGATTCTCTTGAGAAACAAATTATCCAATGGATCCTAAAAACATAATTTTAAGTATATGTACAAAAAATATATAAATATCTATACATAATAAATAAATATTTTTATCGATTGCTACGAAATGTTATTGTTTAAATTAATAATACTCACACAATGATTACTGCTTACAATTTACGTTGAAATAATTGTAACTAGTCCGTCACTTATAATAGTATGAATAATTAATGTTACTACACATAGGAAATTTTATTAACCGTGATATTTATGTCGTGGAAGTGGCAATCGTGTTATTATTGGAATTGATATCGATCACACCGACTGATTAGTGTTTTTATAATACATTTCTACAATAATTACATTATCTATAGACAGTGATTTCAATAAAATAAAGATATTAAACCTACTCGAATTTTTGTATAAATATTATATACATTAAAATTATTATAAATTATACTCTAGCATGGTTCTTGTAATAAACTAAAAACTAAAAAATTATTAATATCGATGTATCTACTAAGAGTCAAACAAGTGTAAGTAACAATTTATACGTATAAACTTGATAGATAATAATGATTTTCAACTAGAAGTAATTAAATTGAAACGATTAACAACTTCTTAATCAAAATTACTTTTCCAAGGTTTGATGCAAGTAAGTGTTGCATTTAACCATGCAATAGGTTTAGTATGTACGAAATGTATATTATATTATTTGAAAAATATATAATTATTTAAAATGTTGTTCGAAAAAGAATGATATTTCAGTAATAAAATATTATATTAAACAACAATTATTATGATAATAATAAATGTCGATAATCAAAAGAGAAATCATGTACTAACATGGAATTTTCATAATCATTACAAATATTTGAACAATAATAGACTATAGTTTTAAGGCATGTGTATACGAGTTGATAATTGTTCTTAAAAAAAGTCCTAAAGAATTTCAAAGTTACGTTTTCTCGTGAAAAGTGAAACTGATCAGTAAACACATTTGGAAAGTCTTCTTGATGTTAAAGTTAAAAATAATTTTCTATTCAATGCATATATTAATGTATAATGTATATTTATAAATGATGTTAAAAGAATACTGTTGTTCACTATAGTTATCTGTTATAATTATAATAGTTTGTATGGTCAATACTGTTATTAAGAATTATGGTACTATAATATAAAATTTAGTTACTCGTGCTCATTACCATTCGTAGCATATTTAGAAATTTGTCCAAATAGATTCGTTCTTTATTTAATCCAAATGAAAGGGTTCTAAGTGCAAAATAAAAATAAAAAATGTAAAAACGGCGACGATATTATAATGAAATATACTATATATGAGTTATTTATAATTAATTTTAGTTTTAGATAGGTATTATTTATATGTTTATTACAGATCGTTTCGGATCACGTTATCGGACAATGCCATGGGCTATTTGTTTGATGTTACTAGATAAGAAATAGAAATTATTACGAAATGGCAGCCACGTTTAGTGTCGAGGACGAATTTGCAATTTATCGGTGGCTTCCGCTGACCCAAACGCTTACAAATTATTTATCTGAACGGCGTACGATAACACACATACGGCTCAAAACGCTGCTGCTGCTGCTGTTGCTAATGATGACGACTCTGCCGATTGTGAGAATCACTAATTCACAACTCAGCACGCCGTGCGATGGGATAGACTAATACTGCAAAACGACCAAACCGTACACATGATATCTCCAATATCCAATGGCTACAGTCGTATCAAGTCTAAAAATTGTAGCAGAAAACAGGTACCTCCATACTAATTACACGTTTTAGCGTGACTTCGTACACAACCATCGTGAGGTATATTAAGTAGTATTCGGTTTACCGAAAATAAACGTTTAGTATTCGTTAAAATGTAGTAATTTTTTTATCCACTCGCGACGTATAATAGCGAGTAGGATTTTAAGCTATAATGAATAATAGAAATATAATATTCGATGACCAATGTTAAAAAAGATTACGTTATCTAAAAATGCACTGTATACGATGACGCATGATTAAAATTGATTCAGTCAATACAAACTCTATTTACAATAGTATACTATTATAATGAATACTCAAAATGTTCCAAAACATTGAAAAAAGTAAATATATATATAATTAATAGGTGTTTAATATTATACTACATCAAGTTATTTTCATCTTGCAAGTTAAGTTCATATCTTTATGACATTGGATCTTCACCCGTATAAAAAACTATTTTCCTCAATAATATTTGTGTAACTCAAAAACGAATAACCGTAGATACTAGATATTTTTATCAAATGTGTGCACGATGTCTTTTTCTATGTATGACTAATTTTTCAAAAAATGTTGACGCTTTTTGAATTACATTCTATAAACATGAGATATACATTCACAGAAACAAAACTCCTTGAAATTTTATATAAGATTCCACATAGTTATTCTCCAATTAGTATAAAATTATTAAAAATACTTAGGCACTATTTTATTGATAAATGCATTTTGAAACTCTTACAAAGTTTTTCAAAATCTAGAAAATTATATGTACATTTTAGTTATTAATTTAAAAAATCTTAATATTTTAAAGCTTTTTTTTCGAAATAGAATAGAATACTATTAATATGTCTCATAAATATTTCCTACTTAAACTAATAATTCTTAAAAAAATAAAACAGTTATTCTTTATGTATTTGAAGCTCAAATTTTTGAAATATAGATATATTAACAATGATTAATATAATGTTAACTCAAAAGTTAATTACAATATTATTATATGGTTCAAATATATATATATATATATATATATATAAAATAATATTATTAATTAAACATACGCATGGTAGTTAATCACTTTACACTTACCGTACATCATAGCAGAATTAATGTCTCGCTTAATTTTTATTGTTTTATTTAATTCTATTGAAATGATTTAATGATAGGAAGATCGTTTAATTTATAAAAAATGTTGGCAGACTCCATACTAAACAGGACCATCTATAATTCACTTTGCACAATATTATGAAACATGTTTTCATGTTACGATAAATGTATATTACCTATTTAAATACGCATCAATAGCTCGAAAACACTAACCGTTACACTAATTACCACTATTATTATAAAAATAAAATAACACATCTCGATCACAGTAATCATTTACACTGTTAATATTTTTATATTGTCATAATCATAATATAAACAGTCTATAATACTGTAATTTTTAATAAACAGTTTATAAAATCTTAAAATTTTATAGCTAAGGTTTCAAAATGGAATACAATACTGTCCATTCTTCTCATAAATATTTCCTACTTAAACTAATAAATCTTAAAAATATACAAACTTAATTTTTTTTATATATAATATTTGAAGTTCAGATTTTGGAAAAAAAGAGGTATATTAACGATGAATAATATAATATTAACTCAAAAGTTAATAACTATATAATTACATAGTGTAAACATATATATATATATATATATATATATATATATATATATAAATATATTATTATTATTATTATTATTATAAATACAATATTTTCAGAAAAAATGTTTTCGTTCTGCTCTAATACTAATAAGAAAATTAATTAATATAAATAGTTTTATCAAAAATACATATCATAAAATATATTTAGTGATACAGGTTGACAGATCATTTCCGCTATATTTTTCGTGTATCCTTAAATTAAAGTTGAACACACGTATTGTAGTTACCCACTTGACACTTAACGTACATTATAGCAGAATTGCTCAATTGCTTAATTTTGTTTTTTTTTATTTTGTAATTCTATTGTAATTATTTAATGATAGGAATATCGTTTAATTAATAAAAATGTTGGTAGACTCCATACTAAACAGGATTATCTATGGATCACTTTGCACACTATTACGATACATGTTTGCGTGATGGGATAAATATACATGTAGGCACTTTCATATATATATATATATACATTTTTTAAATAAAATAATATAATGGTAATAATGTTTATATTAACCTTATTTTGGTGCTTTCGTTTTGGTAATTATCAATCGACATCGATTTGTATACGGACATTTTAATCACCTTAAATAATATGAATAAACTATTATAAAAAAAGAAATTAAACAGTAAATATATTAACTATTACATTAATAATAATGTGTCTTAAGAGTAATACGTATATAGTAGTCACTAGACAGCAATAATACTATAATAGTAACTATTTTTAATAAAACATTTGTATGCATAAATATGTGGACGTATAAAAATAATTTACAATTTTAATAAATATTTCCTGAGTTTTAAAGTATTTTTAACCAAATAACAATTAAAAAAATAAAATTCGAACGTATAAGTATCATAAACACTGTTTACATTGATGTGTACAATTCAAATAACCTTTTACGAATAATGGGTTGTTATATCCTTAATTGTTTTCTCGTTCTGATGAATTTAAGTTCAGTTCCCAATTAGAAGAACTCTTTGATTGAAGAGTTTTTATGGTATTCTTGTACGAAAAATACCAAACAAATCCAATTACCATGCACACTGCAACTTCTACGTAGTAACCATTTACAACACTGACACAATCTCCATTTTTTTTTTTTTGCACATCTAATAATAAACAAATTTTGAATAAGTCAATTTCAATAGATATAATATAATAGCAAATTAATATTGTAAAGTCCAATTAGACAATAAAAAAGTGATACGTAGCACATATAATATCGGTGTAGAAAAAGATGAGTATTTTTTGTCCCAGTGTTTTTTTAAATCATACGTGAAATACGCGTACCAATATTTCAGGAATATCAATATAAATATTATCCTAAAAAATTTCGGAAAATAACTATAACGTTTTGTTATTACTGAGACACGATTACATCAGCTTAATAAAATAAAATAATTTCTCAGATCTGTGTTTTATGTAAATATTATAGAAACACATTAATAGCTCTGAGAGATAAATTATTTATGTAACTTTAAATTTAAAATAAATTAAGAGAAAAAAAATTTGATTATTAACCTCATAGACAATCTTAATATATGTTATGTTTCTTACGTTTTTCAATTCTATCGTAGAACAGTTATTAAAATC